TTGAGAAGTATTCCACCTGTTTTATCACCTGTTTCCACTACAAGACACATGATTTTATATTTCTCAGTCAGATTCAAAGAAATCCCAAAGTGGACGTTGCTGCTTTCTCCCAACTTTTGTTGTTGTCATTTATCAGGTGATGCTGAGCAGCAGACTGTAAACAAGTGTTACAGACCATGAGGGGCTGTGAGCTGCCCACAGCTAATGTCAAACTACTCAGTTAAAAAATAAATTAAAAAAGGATCCACACGGCTCAAAATAAATTGACAAACACTAAAACTAAGGATATTCTATCTATAATTTTAGTTAGTTTTAGTTATTTTTGTAAAAACATTATACAGTTTTAGTTAGTTATTTTTCCACTTTGTTACAGTTTTTATTTTTTTAGTTAACTAAAATGTTTTTTTCAATTTCAGTTTTCGTTATTTAGTTAGTTTTAGTTAACTATAACAACCCCAGTTAGCACAGCTGCTAACAGCTTTTCAGGGACCATTTCAAACAAGCTTGAACAGTTATTGTTTTAAAACCATCAAATTAGGGTAAAGATCAGTCATCTAAACACCTAAAACAGACATTGAAGCTCTCCTGTCTCACCTCTGCGCAGCCTCCAGGCACAACTCCAGCAACCAGGACTGGGGAGTCTCCTCGGAGCGTCAGACCCAGTCCAGCTTCTCTCCTCTGCAGGCAGATGGATCGCACCGGGCCCCAGCGAGCCCTCGCACAGAACACCACCAGGGGCCCCTGCAGCGCAAAGAACACTCACTTATTGTCACTATTTATAAATATAAATATAATTGGAGAAACAAAATGTTTCTGACGCTTGTTTCACTGTCGAAGCTTTTCAACACTTTGGCGACATCTTGTGGCCAAAAAGAACCTGAAATGAATGAAGTGTTTATCTGAACAAGTATTTAAGGAGCCTTACCAGTCTGTGGAAGATGTCAGTAACTTGGACCGAGGAGAAGTTTGGTGGGGTGACGTCTGGTTTTTGCTGAGTGTGAGCTGTGAGCAGAAGAAGCCGCAGTCACTTCCTGCACTCTAACTAAAGGTTAAAAGTGACGTTAGACGTTCTCACCTTGTATCTCTGGAGCTTCGGCCGTCTCGTCGAAGTCGTCCTCTCGATCCAGCTCCAGGTATTTCTCTAGAGAGCGCTTGTGTGTTTGGGACAGCACGTCCTGCAGAATGTCCATCTTCCTCAGGATCTTACACAGGCTGTGGACGCGAATGGCCTCCTCGTGTTTCATCACGGCACGCCGAAGGTGGGCTTTACCTACAGGTAGGCAGGTTTCAGTGATGGGCAGAACTAATCCAAAATTTAGCTCCGCAACTTCCAAAGTGCTTATGAAAATATTTAGATCCGCAACTTCAAAAACGCTTATGTCATAGAAAAATTAGAGGAAGCTAAATGTAAAGCACATGTTCAATTTGACTCTTACTAGCTGACAATTCATGTACAATGTGCACAACACTGTTAACAAGTGGTGAATGAACCCTTGTACAACTGCTGACTGCTGGGGATCTGATTTCCTGAAACAGACCATTAGCTCCTGGTGTAAAAATTAAAAAGTTGTTGAGGATTGCTAGTTCGGCTGCTTCTTTGTCTTTTTCTTTTGTTTGTTGTAGATTTTTCATTAAAGAAGCATCAATACAGTAATTTTAAAAC